GTGGTGCTGAGTAAAACAATTGCTGTTGCTGTTACATGCGGCGGGTGGGTCTTACCAAATCTCCACGATGCCCGTGTTCCTCCGTAACGCGTCTGCCAGCTGCGCAATGCCCTTGGCTGTGATCTGGTTCTGGATAAGCCTGGAAGAAGAACACATCTTTTGTACCAAATACATGATGCTGGACTGAATCTGCCCGCTTCATTAGGTAGTTGTAAGGGGACGATGGGATAATAAACAGACAGGGTCAGGGGGAGAATGGAGTCCACGTGACTTTTAATCTGGCTCAGATTGTCTAGATCCGATCCACCAGAATAAAGGACATCCTTTAAAATGTTTAATTTTCCTGTATATTTTTATAGTGAGCATAATATATCTGTGTATTCGTATGGAAATAGTTTAATACGTGAACATACATACGTGTGTGTGTGTGTGCTTGACATTTTTCGTTGCAAGGGAGCCCAATCAAAAATGTTTGGAGACCACCGGTCCGAACATCAAATTCTAAGAAACACATCTGGGGAACAGGCAGTCTGGTGTCTCCTTCCAGGTGGTCAGGGAAAGGCAAGGCAGTTTCTAAAGTTAAGTGGCTGCCAACAGGCCATTCTCCTTGGAGGAAAGAAAGGCTTCTGAGATGGGACGATGTCCTCTCCAACATCCACGAGGGAGGGAGGAGAAACAATTCTCCTGCGTGGAAAAGCAATGATAACGGGGCCTCTAAGAGTCACCCCATCATGTTGGGTGGCAGTGATCCAATGAAACGAAGGCTTCAGACGTAGCTGGGAAGCCTGGGAGACCCCGAAATGCTCCCCTGGGCAGCCATGCCTCCAGCTCAGCCAGGAAATAAATGCTGCATGAGGCAGTGCTGCGTCTACACTTGATCACAGGCTCACCCTCACTCCTAGCTGTTTGTCGAATAAGGCTACTGCGGAACTTGACCCTTAGAAATCCTGGCACTGACTCAAGCAGGCACTCCACCAGGAAGATGAAGGCCTATGCTATCGTGCTCGATGAGATTATAGAATTAAGTGTGAAGGGGTCAACCCCTTAAAGAGACAGTCTAGCATAGGGGTTAAAAGCTCCCGTCATATCTACACTCCCCACTTCTCAGCTAAAGATCTGCGCTTGCCTGATCTGTAAAATGTGAATAACCATCAAAGAATCTCCTCTACCCAGGGCGTGTTAGGTTTCAGTGGGACAATGTGTACGAAGCAGTTCTCACATTCTGCGCCATGGTGCCCCGTGGAAAGGTCTTGTCACCATTACTGCCCAAACACATAGGACTATGGTGACTGTGCTACAACTGGGACCCAGTGCTCCCAGCCCCATTTCCCAAAGGCCGGGCCACCTGGGCTCAGTGGCAGAGGCGATGACCTCCTGGTAAACATAAACGGTGAAACTGGACATTTTTGCAAAAGAAGCAAAAATAGAACGTGGAAGTGGGCACGGAGTTCTGCATTTGGTTAAACTCTGCTGTTTTCTAATCACTTCTTCGCTGCTGCTACCAATGGCCTTGCTTGGGGCAGGGCGAGCCGCCTCTGACCAAGAGTTAGCAGGAGGCCAGGTGGGCGGAGAGCCCCAAAGCAGCAGTGTCCAGGCACATATGCCCACTGGGGCTACCTTCGGCAGGGCCAGTGTGGCCTGTGCATGCACGCAGCAGCCAAGACTCACTCTCTAGTCCTATTCTAGCTCGATTCTCCCTGGAGGGGCTGGTCTGCCACCTGGGGAAGGGCATAAAAGAAAAACTACAGGCCAGAAAGAAAAGAAAACAACAGCAACAACAAAAAGATGTAAAAGTAGTGTAGTCTGGCTTTTTTTTTTTTTTTTTACAAAAATTGATAAAGTAAATCTAAAACTCACATGGAAATGCAAGGGACCCAGAATAGCCAATCTTGAGAACAATAACTAAGAAGACTCATACTTCCTGATTTCAAAACTTACTACGAAGTTACAATAATCAGGACAGTATGTTGTTGGCATAAGGATAAACATATGGATCAATGAACTAGACTAGAAAGTCAAGAAATAAACCAATAAACTCATGCATATGTGGTCAATTAATTCTTGGCAAAAGTGTCAGGGCCACTGAAAAGGCAGAGACAGTCTTTTCAACAATAAGCTGGATATCCACTTGCAAAAGGGTGAGGCTGCACCCTTATACCTCATACTATACACAAAAATTAACTCCGAATGGATCAAAGGCCTAAAAGAAAGAGCAAAACTATAACACTTAAAAGAAAACTTAGGTGTAAACTTTTGTGACTTTAGATTAGGCAAGGATTTCTTAGATACCTAAAGCACAAGCATCCAAAGAAAAAATAAATCGGACTTTATCAAAATTAAAAACTTTTGTGCTTCAAAGGTCACTATTCAACCCCATAGAGAAGAAATATTTGCAAATTGTATATCTAATAAGTGTCTGCTACCCAGATTATATAAAGAACTCTAATGACTTATCAATATGAAGGCAAATAACCCTATTTAAAAATGGGCAACAACGTGGGGACATTTCTCCAAAGAAGATATACAAATGGCCAACAGGCACATGAAAAGATGCCCAATGTTATTAGCCACCAGAGAAACGTCAATCAAAACCACAATGAACTATTACCTCGCACTCACTAGGATGGCAAAACTCAAAAGGACAGACAATAACAAGAACTGATGGGGATGCGGAGAAGCGGGAGCCTTCGCACATCACTGGTGGGAATGCGGCCACTCTGGAAAACAGTTTAGCAGTTCCTCCGAAAGTTAACACAGAGTCCCCATATGACCCAGTAATTCTGGTCCTAAGGATACACCCAGCGGCCCCAGAGAAATGAAGACATGTTCATACAGAAGCACGCACATGACCATGCACAGCAGCATTATTCATAGTCGTCAAAAAGTAGAAGCAACGCAAATGTCCACCAACTTACGAATGGGTATACGAAACGTGGAATAACCATACAATGGGATATCATTCATCCATGAACAGTACTGACACATGCTATGATGCAGATGAACCTTGAAAACCTGCTCGTGAAAGAACCCGGAGACAAAGGCCACACACTGTATGATCACGTTTCTATGAAATGCCCAGAATATGCAAATCCAGAGACTAAAAGCAGATTAGTGGTTTTCAGGGACTGGGGGAGAGGAAGGATGGGGAATGACGGCTTAATACATACAGGTTGGTGGGGGATGGTAGGGGAAGTGAGCAGGCAAAATCGTTCGAGAATTAGATAATAGTGATGATTGCACAACTTTGTGAATACGCTAAAACCCATAAACGAGTTACCATAAATGTTTCAATGTCTGGTTGACTTCCAACATCTCCGCCAAGCTCTCTGCCACTTCATCGTCGAGTTCATTTTTGGTGAGCCTAGAAAAGAAAGGAAGTGTTTACTCAAGAGAGCCCTACCTGGCACACGTTTTTTAATGAGTTCGTAGAAGCGGGATCCCAGCCCAGGTTCCAGCTTATACTAATAATCACTTACTGAGAACCCAGCAAACAGCCAGGCTCCAAGCCCAGCCTCCAAGCTCCACAGATAATAAATGGGGCTTCATTTCTAAGGCAAAGCCTTTATCCACGCTCCTACTTCAGAGGAGCCTGTACTCCCTCCCCTTGCTTACTGAGCCCTCTGATCTCACGGGAGATAGGGACCCCCAGATAATACCTGCCTCTCAGGTCTCCTCCAGCCTCCAAGATTCCTTGAACAGCGCTGACAGCATGCTACCAAAGTCAGTCGGATGAAAACCTAAAAAAGCCTGCCGACTGATGTTAAAATGGGTCCAGCGCTTTGCTCTGAGGCCAGTTTAAGGGACCCAAGTTCAGTGACTGAAAGTTCAGGAAGTCTCTCAGTTGTTTGTAAAACTGAGTGGTCTGGATAAAGCATGGAAGGCTAGAAGCTCCCGGATGCAAATAGGATTGGAACCTGGTGTGCCAGTGGATGAAAGAATAAATAAGGAAGATAAATGGAACAGAAAAAACATTTAAAAAATCATTCCTTGGAGGGCAACTTAGTAGTGTCTATCCAAATTTTTAATGTGTTACACTTTGAGGCAACAGATTTCTAGAAGTTGGCCCTGCAGTGTGCAAAGACACGTGCACAAGGATGTCTACATAAAGTATTGCTTGCAGAATTATCAAACATGTTGTAAAAAGTGAACAAATTTAAATATCTACCAATAAAAGCAACTGGCAAAATAAATGGAGGGTGTCTATTCAACGGGACGCTGTGCAGTCCTTAGAGAATGAGGTCACGTAAGAAGGAGGCACAGAGCATGGTGTCCTACGTGCTCGGAAGCCAGACGTGCCAGGTGTGTGTCACCTACCAGCAGGGGAACCTTGGGCAAGCGGTTTAACTTCTCTGGGCCTGCGTTTTCTCACCTGTAAGTGTGGACGGTGGTAGCACAGACCTCAGAGGGTGGTTGTGAGGGTGCGTGGGTACATGAGAGGGTACGTGGATACGTGTGAAGGCTGAGGTTAACGTGTGGCACACAGCCGGGTCTCAGGAAGCGCTGGGTTTGACATTATGACCCGTGTAGAGGAGTGGTTCTCAACCACTGCCATTCCCTCTCCAGGGGACATTTGTCAATGTCTGGAGACATTTTTGATCATCACAATTGGGGGGACTCTTGCTATGTAATGGGTAGGCAAGGCATTCGGCTAAACATCCCTCAATGCACGGGACGGCCTCCAAAACAAAGAATTATTTGGGCCAAATCTCAAGTGTTGAGATTGAGAAACCCTGACATAAATGGACATGTAAAATATAGATAACTTACGGTTAAGATTTTCTTAAAGCCATTTGCTAAATGCTATTCTATTTTGTAAGAAAAAATATATATATATATGGATTTCGACATATGTATATTCAGATGCTAAAAGGCTAGAAGAAAAGGTTATATTTAGAAAATACGAAGGAGAAGATACTTTCACTTCCTACTTTTCAGACTTCAGTGTCTTACATTTTTTCAAAAAAAACATATTGCTTTTCAAAATGTTTTAAAAGATTGTTTCGAGGGGAAAAGAATTAAGAATGCATTTGCTGGCCAGGCAGGCCTAGTATCAGAACGCTCCTAGTGATGACATTTTAATGAACTAATTTAGCCACTATCTCATGAGCACAGAGCAGTGTGAGGAGGATGAGAGAGATGTGTGGTACAATTTCCTCACCCGTAAGGAATTTATGGTACAGGCAAGTAAAAAAAACTACAGATAAATACATTTAAAACAGAGTAAATGACCAAAAGAAAAAGAAACAGGAAAGAAGGCACCATTGGTAGGCAACATACACTTAATTAGCGCCCCTGGAATGCAGAGAGGGACCGAGGACAGTGAGCTTCCTATGACAGGTGAGAGGTGAAAGCCGAATCCTGATGTGGCTACTTGGCGAAGGAGGAGGCTGCACGGGGAGGAAAGCTGTGTAAGGGGAGGAAGGGAAAAGATTTGGGGCCACGTGCATGACAGTGGGACTCTCGAAGGCAAATCTGGGGGTGGTTCTGAGGCTACTCCTGACAGAACGACCAGCCTGTGGTTTTCCCGAGGCTCAGGCTGGCAAAGAAAGCTAAGGCCTTGAACTCACGCCCCTGGGCTTGCCTACCCTGCACCCCTCTTCTGCACCTGTTCATGCTTCTGGGAATGGCCATTCTCTTCTCTGGCAGGAAATTCGCAGCCTCATTTTGAGGAAAGGCCTAGAGCCTTTTCAGCTGAGAGGCAGCTTTTCAGTTAAGAGTCTCGGCTGTGCAGTCTTTGGAATACTCCCCGGGACCCAACCGTTCAAAACGACTCTGTTTATTACCAGAATATTCTCAGAGACACGTTCTGCTGCAGGGCCTGAGCGAGGCTCTTTCCTCCTTCTGTAGAGATGCCATTGAATGCAAGACTAGGAAGGAAAACACAGGTGGATTATCAGAGGCCCATCGATATCTGCCTGTGGCTTCCGCAATCTAAATTGCTGGGAGACCCCGCCTGAAGGGGGCCCTCCTTGGGCTGACTTGAGGCAGGAAGCAGCCGTGCTTGGCCTCCCCAGCAGCCGACCAGGCTTTGCTGCTCCAGAGCCCACGTTCAGAGCATGAGGTCAGGTGCCAGACTGATCAGAGAAAGGCCAGGCAGGAAATGCAACATTGGTGAGACCTGGTCGGACAGGAAATGCAACATTGGCGAGACCTGGTCACAGTGCAGACTGGAGGCCTGGTGAGCTCTGTGTCAGAGGGCTGACAGTTTCAAGGTGCCCAGCAATGAGAGCTGGAGAAGTTTCCTCTGTTCTCGTAAATAAGGAATTATGCCATTGCCTCCACCATCTCATTCTCTTTCACTGGCAGGAAGAATGCAAGCAATAGCACAGGATTCCCTGGACCCCTGGGCTGTGGACCGGTACCAATCTGTGGCCTGTTAAGAACCAGGCCGCACAGCAGGAGGTGGGCGGCGGGTGGGCAGCGAAGCTTCATCTGTATCTGCAGCCGCTCCCCAGCGCTGGCATCACCGCCTCAGCTCCGCTTCAGATCATCGGGTATTAGATTCTCATAGGAGCACTGGTCCCTGATGCCAAAAATGTTGGGGACTGCTGTGATAGGGGACACCCAAGGCTCTGAGGTTTGGCCTAAAGGAGGGCCAGGAGGAACGTGTCTATGTACAGAAAAAAAGGGGCCCCTCTGTCCCAGCACCATCCTGAGAACGAGGAAACGCTATGTCCTTTTCGGTTTTATCAGGACTTAAGAATTCTTCCCCACTCCCAAGGGGCACGGGGAGATGGCCGAGGGGCTGGCAATGTCCTATGTCTTGATCTGGGTGGCGTTCATATTGGTGTGTACCTATATCAGATCATTGAACTGAACACTTAAGAGTAATGTACTTTACTGTATGTCTCTTATACATCAGTAAAAAACATTTTTTAAAAAAATCACACACAGAGCTCTCCCCCATTAGGAAAACCAACCACCCTCTTCTTGGCCCCTCCATTGGCAAACCAAGAGGCTCTGGGAGTGAGCAGATTGACCCCCGGAGACAGCAAGCATCAGGGGCAGCAGTTACCTTAGGTTGGTCAGGCTGGTGTGGTTCCTCAGAGCCTCTGCGAAGGCCTTTGCTCCTTCATCACCGATGCTGTTGCCCCACATCCTGAGGGCAGAGGCAAGACAGTAAAAGTTAGCTCACGCTCACCCCTTATTTTCCGCCGGTGGCCACAGATGGACCATACACACTCAGCAGGCAGATGCTTTTGCTCCGTCCCTGGAGCTGTGGCCTGGAGATGAATTCCTACGCCAGCCCCTTAGCGAGCTGCCCTGGATTTCGAATTCAAGGGGAAACGTAAGGAAGAAGAGCAGTAGAAGCTTCGTGAACAGAAGTTCCCTCAGCAAGTTGCACAATTAGATACCAAGTCTCGCCCTCGAGCTTTCAGAGAGGTGTTAGTCAGAGAGCCTAAACTCATGACTGTCCCAGAAACATCACCCACAGAGTATACAGGTTCGCAGCAGCCTAAAAGGAAAGGCCTGTGATGCACTGGATGCTTGGCACCCATTCGACTCTGTGCGGGGGACAGAGACATCCTTGAAGACACGGTCAGTCTTTCACGAAGCAAAGATCAGAAAGTACACTCAGAAACCTTAACGGCATGATCCTTTTATGTAAAGAGGACGTTACCACACCGTGCTGTGTGGGTTATTGCGCTTGGGAGGGGGGTTGCAGTGATGAAGCCGCACTCTCTCCCCCAGAGCAGGTAACCTGAGAAGCTTTGGCTAAACCGAGGGTCTGCAGGTCAGTGCTGGGCTCCGGAGGCAGAGCTCACATCCCGGCCCTGCACACGCTTATGCCAACTGTGTCATCTCTTCGGTCTCAGTCCCCTCGTCTACCAAGGGGGATAATTTCCTCTTAGAGTTGCTGGGAGGACTGAGTGAGTTAATATTTGCAAAGCACTTAGAACAACCCCTGGCCTATGATAAGCATCAGCCACCCCCCATAGACTGAGGGGTGCCGTCTGCATAAAGCAAAGCAAGAGTGCCCGGGTCTCACACAGCAGAACCCCCGCTGCCGTGGCAACGCGCTCCCCCAAGCTAGCGACCTACCTACATCCCTCCCGGGATGAACTGCCAAAACCCCAGAATGAGAGATTTCAGTGTTCTGCTTAAAAAGCATGTGCGCTAATTGAATGGTATCAAATTTTTAATTCAGTAAAAAGAGTAGAATAAAATTCTATATATATAGTTTGACCTCTCCTATATAAAAAAAAATATATATATTAGTACAGAGGGAACACATACAGGTGAGAGAGAGCAAGAAAGCTTACCTGACCTCACGTCGACAATAACTATTTCTGAGAAAATGATTTTTTTTATTAATTACACTTTTTGCATTTTCCATAGTTTACCAATAAAAGTATCTGCTTCTTGTATAATTGAATAAAAAATTATGACAATATAAAAAGCTTTGAAAATCCTCCAAATCAAAACCACAATGAGATACCACCTCCCACCCACTAGGATGGTTACTGTGAAAAAAAACAGAAAATACAAGTGTTGGTGAAGAGAGAAATTGGAATCCTTGTGCACTGTTGGTGGGAATGTGAAATGGTGCAGCCACTATGGATAACAGTATGGTGTTTCCTCAAAAACTTAGAAATAGAATTGCCATTTGATCCAGCAATTCTACTTCTGGGTACAGAGCCACAAGAATCGAAAGCAAGGGCTCGAAGAGATATTTGTACACCCGTGTTCACAGCGGCATTATTCACAATAGCTGAAAGGCAGAAGCAACCCAACCGTCCATCCAAAGATGAATGGATAGACACAATGTGGGATATACATACAATGGACTATTATTCATCCGTAAAAAGGAAGGAGATTCTGACACATGTCGGAACGTGGATGAACCTTGAGGAGATTAGGCTCGATGAAATAACCAGTCTCAAAAAGACAAATACTGTGTGACCACTTATACGAGGTACTTGCAGTGGTCAAATTAGAAAGCAGAATGGTAGTTGCCAGGGGCTGGAGGGAGGGAGGAATGCGAAGTTATTGTTCCATGGGTATCGCAAGGTACAAAGAGTTCTGGAGATGGTTGCACAACTACATAGATGTGCTTAATGCGAATGAACTGCACACTTCAAAATGATTAATACGGTAACTTTTATGGTATATGTGTTATACCATGACAAAATTGAGTTTAAAAAATCTCCAGAGAATATATAATTTTCTTAAAGTGAAGAACATCTGCCTGAGGGCGAGAACCGCTCCCTTCATTTGCAGGCGGTGATAATACTGATTTCTGCATGAATTAAATAAACATCTGCACAACTGAAGTTGCAGCCAATCCTGAGACTTCCCACAGCACCTCCCCGGCAGGGTCCGGGGGGGGCCCGGTAGGGCTCGGGGACAAAAGCTCTCTGTGCCCGTCCCCCACAGCCTGCCCAGCGATCCCGCTGGTGTGTGTGTGTGTGTGTGTGCAGGGACACCAGCAGGTGCTCAGGGACACAGGACGGGTCATGTCATGCACACGTGTGCATACGTCTCTACTCACCCAATTTCACTGATCGATTTGCTGTTCTTCACGGCCAGGGCGAGACACTTTCCTCCTTCGCTCGTGATTTTGTTTTTTCCCAGTCTGCAGAGGGAGTCGTGCACGCGTCAGCCTCCAGCTGTGAGGGGACTCGGCCACCCTCATCCCCAGCACAGAGCCCTCTGGCCCCTCTTGGGAGGAGTGACCTTTCTCCTGGGACCCACAGCAGCTATGCCCTGGGCTCCCACTCAGGGAAGGACGGACGCCTGAGGAGGGCCATTCAGGATTCCTCTCTGGGAGACACTTAGGGACCTGAGTTTCCCTGGGTGTTCCCTAAATGACCTCTGGAGCCTTGCTCGTTCCCATCAGCAGACCAGGGAGGTTCCCGCTTCAGCTGCAAACAGTCACGGCGCGTGTTCCCATCGCCAGGACAGCACCAGGGGCTCCCCCAAGCCCGGTGCACTGTCACCCTTGCGGGGTATTTCTATGAAAGGACCAAGGATCAAGGATCTTGCTTTCAACTAGGTGGGTGCTCTAGTCTGAGTGTTTGTGTCCTCCCCAAAATCCATATTCCAAAATCCTAACCAGGGCAATGGTGTTAGTAGGCGGGGCGTTTGGGAAGTGATTAGGTCATGAGGGTGGAGCCCTCATGAACGGGGATTAGTGACTTATAAAAGAGGCCCCAGGAGCTCCTCGACCCCTTTCCACCATGTGAGGACACAGCAAGGCCTCATCTGACACCTCACCAGACACCTAACCTGCCACCTAACTTTGGTCTTGGCCTCCCCAGCCTCCAGAATCGTGAACTTATAAACAGCCTCGGGTATTTATAAGGAACTTAGCTTACAGTATTTTGTTATAGACTCCTAAAAGGACCGAGACAACGAGGAACTTCCTTGGAGGAAAAAGACCTCCAGAAAGGGTGACAGTTGTGGCCTCTTCCTGCCCGTAGTTGATGAGATCCACATGCCGAGCTTCCCCTCATCAGTGGTAGGTGGCCCTTCCAAAATGCGAGCCTCACCCACAGGTCCTAAATCCTCCCCGTGGCCAGCTCCCCTTCCACACACAGGTCTGCCGATTTAACCAATAAGGCCCTGGACTCTTTCGGGTGACATTTATTATTTGTTTGAATAATGACCAAGAAAAGCTGCTAGGGCACTTGCCACGCCCACCCCACTTACTTAAGGTGTGTGAGGCCTTTGCATTCATCCAGGATTCTGGCGACGTACCTGGCTCCGACATCCGTGATCTGGTTGTTGTATAAGCTTCGAGAGAAAGCACGGGCATAAGACTCTACGACTCCCGATGCCGTCTTAATGATCCCCATTTTCTAAAGTGATTATGTGCTGTCTGATTTCCGAAGTCTGGGTCGAAAGGGGAAAGGAAGAGCCCGTGGAGACCAGAGTGTGGGACTCTGGGGTCTCACAGGCTGGATTCGAAGCCACTCTGCCACTTTCCCCAGCTTTACAACCTGGGGCGAGTTACTGAACCACTCTGTGCCTCAGTTTCTTCATCTGTAACACAGGGGGAAGAACGGCAGCCCCCTCACGAGGATTATATGAGATCACGCCAAGCCCTTGCACGTGCTCGATAAATGGCAGGTAACGGGGAATTTTAGATCAAGGTAACAATCAGCATCTCGAGGGAGAAACGTTTCTGAGTGTTGGAACCTCTTCAGTGTCTGCTATTTAGTCATTTCACCACTTGATGCCAATTTAACAACACGCAGAAAAGTTGAAAGTGGTAACTAGACAGGATTAAAGGGTTCCAGAGTCATTCAGAACCCCCGAGGTGAAAGCCTGGCCTACTGGGCCTCAGTGCCCTCATTTCTCATCTGAGGGGACTGAAGCCCGAAGAGGCGGGTTCTACCTTCTAATCAATAGTGGCTGTGGAGCTGGCTGGACAGGCCCATGACCTCTTGCCTCAAACTCCCAAATTCAAGGTTCTGAGAACCCAAAGTTTTTCGTAAGTATTTTTGGCAACTGATAGGAGCTATTCATGGTCTTTATCCCAACTGGTTTGAATATTCGTACATTTTGCTGCAGAAATATTCAAGTATTTGAAAACAGGGCATTGCCTAGACTCGCTAGGTGGTGTCACTAGTACATAGCATGTACACTGAATTCTGATCCGTGTCTTGCCCCTAGGGTTCTGGATGAGGGATCATGGACCCACAGTAATGAAGTCTAACACATAAACAGTATTCTAACGTTTATAAAACACATCCCCAGATACTCTCTCATTGCACGCCCCCGTCACCACTCTTAACAGCTACTTGCCTATATTGGGGTCCCAGTTACATAAGTGAGGGTGCTGAGGCCCAGCACAATTTCCTGACTTGCTCGAAGAGTAGCCTACTGGCCGAGCCAAGAGCAGAACCCAGGACTCCTGGCTCCCAGTCCAGTGCTCTTTCTGCTGCTCCTGGCCATCAGTCCCAACCAACTAGTCACCCAAGTGAGTGGCAATCTCCTCCTGCTATGTATTATTATTATTATGTAGCTGGACCAGTGTTCTTGAGAAGTACATACCCTAAATATGTCAGAATTTTGTACTTGGTCAGCTCTTCATACAGCACCTTTACCCCACTGTCAGTGATCTGGTTTACGCTGAGTCTGAAACAAAACAGCAAAGAAAAGTTACAGATCAGAGCAGCTGTTCACTCTGAGGGAGCAGTCACTGCACAAGGATGCAGAAGCCTATAGTGGTGGAGTTTTCCCAGCCACAAATGCCCCCGAGAGGATGGTCGTAGCAATCAGCCAAACGGTCCCCAGAGAGCCCGGTCTCTGTGGGCCGGCAGACCCACCCAGAACCAGCCCCTCAGTGCGGCCGCAGCACAGTGCTGATTCCACTACAAACACGTGGGTGAAACCCGACTCACCACCTGAAAATGCCAGTGGAGGGCGACAGCTCATGGAGTGTGGTTCTGTGTGGGAAATCGCAAATGGCAATAGAGAAACACCGGAGTTGTGATCAGAAGAGGCAGATCTTGGCAACTCCACGGTCCAACTCCTCATTAACGCAAACGCTGCCTCAGAGACCAGGCAGCTTAGAGAGGGGTCCATCAGGATGATGGACAGCTCCTGGATAAAGGCCAGCCGCACACTGGACGTGCTCTGTGGAACCCCTACACTCCCAGGATATTCTGATGTGGCTACATTGCAAAATAATTTCCTTACTACCAGACCTACCTCATTTTATCACGCTCCACAGATACCGCGAGTTTTACAAATTGAAGGTTTGTGGCAACCCTGCCTTGAGCGAGCCGATTGGTGTCAAAAAGATTACGACTTGCTGAAGGCTCAGATGATTCCTGGCATTTTCTTAGCAATAAAGTATTCTTTAATTGAGCTGTCTACCTTTTTTATAGACACGATGCTATTGCAAACAATAGACTACAGTATAATGTAAACATAACTTTTATATGCACCGGAAAACAAAAATTCGTGTGACTCACTTTATGGTGACATTTGCTTTATTGTATTGGTCTGGAACCGAACTCACGATATCTCTGAGGTTACACCTATCATCACTGGGAAAACTACCCTGATTTTCTTAGCCCTCTATCACTTAGGTGAGGCTGAGGGACGGATAGGGCTCAGTGATGGAGGGAAGTAAGGAATGAGGTGAGGGTCAGAGGCTGGGTGAGGTAATAGACCAGTGGTCAGCAAACTTTTTCTGTAAAGGGCCAGAAAGTAAATATTTTAGGTTCTGCAGGCCATATGGTCCCTCCTGCAACCACTCGAGTGCGTATTTGTATGAAGTAGCCAATATGTAAACAAATGGGTATGGCTACGTACCAATAAAACTTTATTTATAGACAAAATCCATGGGCCAAATTGGGCCCACAAGCTGACCTTTGTAATAAGTAAAAGGCTGAACAGGTAAAAGCTTGATTTTTAGGCCACATCCAAATAAATGATCAGGTCAGACACTCTGGACCCCTCCCTCTTTGGTACCCACCTTGGCACTGGGGCACAGTACGTGTACATCCCTGGGTGGCAGAGGCTGCTAGTCACTCCCAATATCTATGCTTTCTTAGAAACAGAATTCCCCAATTTTTTTAACTGGGTACTCACGATCAAATTCTACCCATTGAAACCTAAGCAGAGTCTCATAAGCAATAGCCAAGAAGTCTTCTTAAAATAATAAGGTGCATCCTTCTTTGCCCTTCCTCCTTCCTGGTGGCTTTAATGTCGACTAAATAGCTGGAGCTTGAGCAGCCATCTTGTGTCAAGAGGTGGAAGTCAGGGAGCGTGGGCGGCAGGGCAGCAAGCCACGCTCCTGATGTTTATGGAGGTGCCATAGCAGCCCAGCGCGGCCCTTCTTTTTGCATGGGAGGCAAATAAGCTTGTAACATCTAAGCCACCAATATTTTGACTTTTCTCTAATTCTCAGCCGAAACTGATCCTAACTGTTGCCCTCAAGGAGCTCAAAATGCTTCCCTGGGGTGTCCCATTTCCTCCTGCTTTCTTGTTTACTAGTGTGGAGGAAAACTTGGTCTCAGCTGCCTGGGGCAGGCCCACCACGCTGGTGCAGAGTTTCCATCTCAGGAGATGAGCACAGGGAGGCACCCAGTGTGAGACTGCCTAAGGCTGCAGACAAAGAGATGCTGGCTCCAGGCCTCCCAATTCCCAGGCCAGGGCAGCCTTGGGCTCCCTACATCCCACCGTCCCCTCACGATCTCAATTTACACTCTGGTCTTGTGTAAAAAGGTACCTAGAACCACTTCCAAATCCCTTCTGTTCTCCAGAAATACATGAGCCAAGCAATGGAGAACTGAAACCTTACAAGGTGTGGTCTGTACAGGAAATGCTAGTAGAAAATAGCAGACCAGCCTCTCTTTCCTTGAAACCATCAAACAGGAAACTAATCAAGAGTCAGCATTCTCTACTGAAATCACAGGCAGCTCAGGGCTGCTGGCTCTGATCATGGGAAGTAAATAATGCCAACTTGCACAGACTCTGCTTTTCCTGCAATTATAAAAGCTTGACATGGGCTACAAATCTCAAAAGGCAGGTCCTTTATGATGGTGGCTCCACCATGGCCCAGCTGTGTGACCTTGAGTAACTTTACGGCCCAGCTGTGTGACCTTAAGCAACTTTTTAACTTCTCTGTGCCTCTACTTTCTCATTTGTCAAAGACAATTACAGTACCTACCTTGCAGGATTGTGAAGAGAATTAAACCTGGTCAGATTTGTAATGACTTCACCCATTCTCAATAAATGCTGACTGTTATTACGTTTGACCCTGGAACAACATAGGTTTGAACTGCGTGGGTCCACTTATACGTGGATTTTTTTTCAATAAATATATTGGAAAATTTTTTGGAGATCTGCAAAAATTTGAAAAAACCTGCAAGCCGCATAGCCTAGAAATATTTTTAAAAATTAAGGAAAACTTAGGTAGGTCATAAGTGCATAAAATATATGTATTTCCTCTTCCTTATGATTTTCTTAATAACATTTTCTCTCTAGTTTACTTTATTGTAAGAATATAGTATATAATCCACGTAACATACAAAATATGTTATCACATAATCAACTGTTTATGTGATCGGTAAGGCTTCCAGCCAACAGTAGGCTATTCATAGTAAAGTGTTTGGGGAGTCAAAAGTTTTATGTGGATTTTCTACTCAGGGGGTCAGCACCCCTAATCCCCACATAGTTCAAGGGTCAACTGTACTGTAATTGCTAGGATATGAGCATCTCCTTTTTCCAGATGAAGACACCGAGACTCAGACAAGTCAAGCAAACTTATTCAAGGACATCCAGCTGAGGCCGATCCAGGTCTGCCTGACTTCGAGCTTTGTTCCTTGCCCTCTGCCAGCCTGCGATAGAGAAGGTTCCGGGTGTTCCAAGACCAGTGGTCATGATTCCTAGGGACATCCAGGAGATCCCATGCCACGAGGCTGGTCCTGGTGTCCCCGGAGCCTGGCCGGCCCCAGCCCCACCCCCACCCCTGCTGCCTGTGCCCGGAGGCCTCACCTGATGACGGTGAGGCAGCTGAAGCAGGGCTGCAGTTCCCGCACGCCGTAGTCGTTGAGGTTGTTGTTGTCCAGGTCGAGGGCCAGCCGCTTGCGGAAGTGGTGCAGGACGAAGGCGAGGGCGCTGCAGTCGGCCGAGTAGGCGTTGCAGTAGGTCAGCTTGAGGTAGTTGGCGCAGATGCCCCTGGCCGCCAGCTGCCCCACCTTCTCACTCTGCGTCTCGTAGATGCAGCGCAGCATCCAGATGAAGGTGGGCATGGCCTGCACCTGGCTGAAGCCCCCGGACTGAACGCGGGGCAGGTTCTTCAGGTAGGACCGCAGGCTGGCGAACAGGTGTGCCCACAGGGCCTTGCGCTTCCTCCTCAGGGCTGCGGCGGGCACGAGGTGCTGCAGGAGCTTCTGTTTGGCTTTGGACAACAGCCCGCACAGGAAGAGGTTGATGAACTGAAAGTGATCCTTGTTCTTGAAGGGGTCTTCCCTCGCCAGGCCGCTGTCCCTCAGGCACTGGAAAGGGAGGAAGATGGGAGGGCAGGAGGCCGCCACCGCCTCCCCGGGAGGCGCCCACTCCTGGAAGAACCTGAGAAGCTCCTGAGTGCCCACCTTGTCATCCACCACGAGAAAGAAGGCGGTAAAGAAGGCCTGGAGGGTGATGTGGAAAAACTCGTAGGACTGCTCGTCCCCGCCGAGGCCCAGCTCGGGCACGGCCCTCAGGAAGCCCAGCTGCAGAGCCCCCTCCTGCATGTCGGAGGCCTGCACCACCTCCTGGCCGAAGACAAAGAGGTTCTTCTCCATGCCCCAGTGGGCCACCTGCCCCAGCGAGTGCAGGGTGCCCTGGCTGGCACGGAACGTCTCCGTCTGGCTCCGTGTGTTCCTCTGCACCAGGCTGGTGGGCTGTGTCCTGTTCAGGTGGACCTCAGTGACCAGCAGGAAGACGTCGGTCAGGGTCACGGTGCAGTCGGGCAGCTGCGGGGAGCTGTCGAAAGCGCTGTGAAAGTGCTGGAAGCAGCGAAAGATGATCCAGCAGAAAAGGGGCACCGCGCACAGGCTGCAGAGGTTGGGGTTGGCTTCCAGCTGCTCCAGCAGGTGGCCCTGCACCGCCCGGTCCGGGAACATCTTCCTGGTGTAGGCCTGCAGGTGGCTGGGCGAGAAGCCCCGCAGAAGCACCTTCTTCCGAAGGAGCTGGCGTGGGATCTCGGTGCCCGTGCGGGCCGTGAGCAGCTTGGCGGCCCCCTTGAGCAGTGTCCCGCTGAGCAGGTTGGCCAGCAGGACCAGGGGGTGGACGGGCTCCCAGGGCGAGGAGGTGTCGGGCACGTGGCTCAGGTCGAAGTCCGAGTGGAGCTCGTCCAGGCCGTCGAAGGTAAAGAGGGCCGTGTGCGGGCAGCGCAGCAGGAAGGCGAACACCTCCTCGGGGTCCTGCTCCGGGTAGCAGTGATGCTTGAAGAGCAGGTCCTGCAGACTCAGCACGTCGCTCTCCTTGAAGCAGCTGAACATGCGGCAGCGGAAGTGGAAGAAGAACTTGAGCCCGGCGTCCAGCCGGCCCGTGGCCCAGAAGCTCTGCAGCCGCTGCAGCAGCATGGATTTGCCCACGCCGGCGTCCCCGAAGATGAAGATGGTCTCGCCCTGCTCGTTGAGGACACCCGTGGAGTGGTCCAGCAGGCAGGCCAGGCTGCCCAGGCTGCCCAGGCTCTCGTTGCTGAAGTTGACCAGCTCCACGATGGTGTCCGTGTACATGTCTTCCAGCAGCAGCTCCTCCTTCTGTGCATAGCACAAGATGAACTTGGAGTCGCGGCCCAGTTGGTGTCGCAGCTTCTGAGTGTATCTGCTCACTGCGGGAGAACGGGGCAGAACGGGGCACAGGAGTCCCAGGAGGTGAGGCGCCCCAGGAGAGGTGGAGGCAGAGACAGAGAGAGAAAAGCAGAAGCCAAATGGCATCAATCAGGGAGGTCTCGGGAGGAGAAGCTACACACAGACAAACCCACAGCCTGGAACCTGAGGCCAGGGTCAAGGACTCCTCACATAAGAGCCAGAGCTCTGGTCCGTTAGCCCGAGGGTTATAGATTTCAGCTGGCGTCAGTGTCTGAGACAGGCTCTCATATTCCTCTGCACAAGTTGTCACTGAACTCCAGCTAAAAACTGAAGCTCCCTCACCTTCCAGGGCCAGGCCACGCGGGCCTGCCGCCCACCCCACCACCGGGCCCTGTTCAAATAGCTGGAGCCAGTCCCCATCGAAACTCGAATTGTGGAAGAAGAAACTGCCCTAACCTTGCTAACGCTGCTCTTGAAAAAAAACACATAGTCTCACGAAACCGCATGGCAAACCTTTTGGCGATAAAATACAGCACGGGATGGTAATCTGGATTGCAAAGAAGCTGTGCCTCACCTAAAACACCGCAGCTGAGGAGGCTAGGATGAAACTAGCCTCCCGGCACTGTGCAGAGCACACAGCCCTGCTTCCCAGCAGAGGCCCGGGCATCCCTGACGTTCGGCATGTGTCCCAGGGTGAGCCCCGTGCCTGCCCACGGGGTAGCAGACGTAGTAACATGCTCACATGGGTGCCACACTCTCAGAAAGCAGAGCTATGGAATGGGGCTCACGCCAGAAGGGAGCTGGTCCTTCCCCAGACAAAACGATGTCCCACAAATTCCTTTAAAATAGTTTTTAGATTGTAATTAGAATTTGGATGGCAAATAGCAGACGCACGTGCACATTTCCAGATCTATCTATAAGCCTTCCCCATCAATTTAGCCCAACTTGATTGTCTGCTTAAACTTTGTGAATTATAATTTTAGTAAGGCATAATTTACATACCATAAAATTCACCTCACCCTTTTACCATAAGTACTGTGTACTAGTCAATGTTTTTTAGTGAATTGACAAAGTTACGCAAATGTCACTACCATCTTCTAGAACACCCATCTCTGCCCCGACCCCGACCCCGGCCCCAGGCAACCATCCGCTTCAGTCTCTACAAATTTGCCTTTTGTGGACGTTCACATAAATGGAATCATATAATAGGTAGTCTTTCACCTCTGGCTTCTTGCAGAGTGCATTATACTTTAAAAGTTATCAAAGTCCCTGGCTAAAAAGACTGACGGAGAAGTTCTTCTGAAAGGCCTGCCATCATGGGAATACTTTCCTTTTTCCATGGGAGAAGGAAACGAAGTAGGCGGGAAGGGCGGTAGGATGAGGGGCTGGCAGCTGCTGGCAGGCAGTTGCCTGGGGCCGCAGGAGCAGGAGCTTGGCCCTGACACTCAGCAGGTTGGCCTGGCTTCCCCTAAACACACGCCTGTGTGGGACACTGTCCTTTGTTTTTGTTTTCAAGGGCATGTTGGATTCTCTAAAAATCAGAGTGTGGTCCCTTGGTGCTGGTATGTTGCCAAGAACCGTCTCAAAGTGGAGAGAGCATGAGCATGGGAAGAAGACCCTCTGGGCCCCAGAGCCCTCAGGGCCCCGAGCGTGAGCCTTCACGCCACCTAGAACTACCGCTGTCCTCATCACCATTTGCAACGATACATCCGTGTGATGATTTACTGTCGCTCTCCTGTGCTAGCCTCAGAGCTGCAAAGGGCAGGAGCCATATCTGGGTCTGTTCCCATCTGTAACCCAGGCATCCAGCACGGTGCCTTGGCACATAGTGGGTACCGTATTAATACCTGTCAAACTAGCCAATTAACTAATGGGGTACCATGGCGCTCTGGAAATAAGGACTGGCTGTCAGGGACGATAGAAGAATACTTTGCCTAGAATCGAATCTAGATTTAAAGGGGGAAAACACAACCTTGAATTTGTGTAACCATGAGAATGTCTGTGTATGTCAGAATAGGAAGTAAGCAAGTGGTCGGAACAGAGACTACACTTCCACGGGCCCCTCATGAGTCAGGACAGCTACATGTGGCCGCTTTGATCTCAGTGCCCCGGGCTGTACCTGGGCAACAGGGATTAGCTTTCATTTTCTAAAAGGAACACAGCACCAGGCCTGCAGCCTGTGGCAGAAGGCAGGGCGGGTCAAGGTGGACCGGCGTTCATGCCCTGACGAGCATCCGGGCGACGGCTCTTCCAAACCCCAGGGCCCATTCGCTCGGTGTCTGCAGTGCCCCTAGGGCTCACTCGTACCTGGGTCAGTGTTGACAACAACTTTGCTCTGAATGAGCTTGGAAGAGGAGAAGCCGATCTCCAACAGCCAAGGCCTGAGGTCCAGGTAAGCATCTTCGAGTTTCTGGAGCACGTAGAGGAAGAACTCGGATACCTCCTCCCCCTTGCTCTGTACCAAGTCCAGAATTTTGCGGACCTGGTGGCGATACAAGCATGACAGCGTGAGCTGGCGCTAGGAGGAGGTCCTTCCACGGGAAGGCCCACACGGCAGGGCTCCGAGCACTTACGACAGCCTCAAGCTTGACCATCCACCCCGCTGATGTGAGATGTTATACACTGAAGGTCTAGAATCGGTGGAATGGGCCACCTTAGCTAGACATAAATCTACACACCTCTAAGAAACCAGGAGCCTCCACGAGCCTAAAAATGAAAAGGCCAGACTCCCAGCTAAGGCCAAGCCCACCCCTGGAATCCCCTCTGCCTCCTCTTCCCTCCTGACCTAACACTTCTGCTCTCTGAGAATGATGCACTCATACAGCGAGTGGATAACAGACCTCCACGTAAGTTATACCTTTAAAAGAATAAAAAAAAAAAAAAAAGCTTTGTGTACTATTAAAACCGCAGGGGAAAAAATTACCAAAGTGTGCACTTTTCCCAGAAGCCATGCTGGTCTCTTCTGAGCCCAGCAGGATCACGTTACAAACAGGTTCTGTCACTCCTCTAAAGCAGAAATCAGTTTAAGATCTGGCCCATTTCAGTTTTGAGGAGATGGCACAAAGCCGGAGTGAAACTAAGGGCTGCTGAGACTTCCTGCAGCGGGCTGGGGATGATTCTGCACTGTGGACCCAGCTTTGGGTGCGGCCATTCCCGAGCCAGAGTCCCACCAGCAGTGGGCAGCTCTCCGGTGTTTAAAGGCCCTGAAAAAAATCACTGCTAGTGTTTTATGCTCACTTTCTGTTTCCCTCCTACTAATTTAAAGTGGATTTTAAAATGGGTTGTCTGGGAACCAATGCACATAGCCACGAGGGCCAAGAGGTAAGAAATCTGCTCTTGACATGAACTCAGAGGTACAACACATAATTGTGTATAACAAGCCCTAACCTCAAGACTTTATGTTGTAAAACTGACCCCAATGGGAAATTCTGCCCAATGTACTAAACTCCCAAGCGCTTCACTCAGGTCAACCAAGAGAAGCCCCTTCTGGCTACCAAGCCTCGCACCCTGCCAAGGCCAATCCCTGTGGCCGCCAGCACCTTGTCGGGCTGCGTGGGGCAGGCACCCACGATCTCTGCGTCCTCATCTGAGAAGTAGTCATTCTTCAGCAGGTTGTCCACCAGACACTGCGTGTTGCGGATGTGAGTGACCAGAAGTTCACGGTTGATTTTCAACAATTTAACGTAGGAGTAGGACGTTGATGGGATTATTTCCATCTCACTGCAGACCTGCTTTTCCATGGTTAAAGGTGCAAGCGGCTACTTTTCGCAAATTCATCTTTGGCTGCATGTGTCTTCCTGACAGATGGGCAATCAGGAGCCAGGGCCCCTGCCGCTCAGTGCAGCCCCTGAAGAGACACATGGAATCGCCAATGGAGCAAAGGCCATGGGAAAGGCCTCTCCCTCTCTCCCTTCGGTCCTGGAATTTGTCTGCTCAGGGCAGGAGAGAGTCATGCTTAAGACACTGGCCTGAGATGCACTAAAGAAAAAAAAAATCATAATTTAATTGCCTCTGTTTGGGTTCCATTGCTAAGGTAGGTGACTAGGGGTACATAACTCTTTTTGTCAGTTTGTTTAGCAAAAGTTTTAAATTATTATTTTTTTAAGTGTGCCTCAATCCTAGACTGGGATGGAGATGAAAAGGTATGTTATCTTCCAGGAAAAGGTTCCCCAGGTTTGGCGGTTTCTGCATACTCTGAGAGGGGGAAGGGCCCAGAACTGGGTGCAGAGGAACTGTGGGGGCTGCTGAGAAAGGATCTGAACGGAAAATGGCCTGAGGAGAGAGACAGCCAGCATGAAGTCTCCTGCGGGAGCCGGAGCCCAGGAACCTGGGAACAGTGACATCTCTGTCATCATTGCCCGTTCTGTGCTGTGCGGTAACCCTCCCCACAACCCTATTCCAGCTGGCCTTATATCTTTAGCAAAGTCTGCTGTGTATAGTCCCCTTGGGGAATGAAGGCAGAGCGATGCTATGTGAGGAGTGAGGCGGGGCCGGGGGCGGGGGGCAGCAAGAGGGAGAACTGGCCCGGACTTCAGACTTCCAAGTGGTAGGTGACCGGGAGAGACCACCTCCCAGAAATGCTTGGGAACCTCACGCTCGTGCTGGACTTCCTGTCTGGGTCGGAACAGGGGCCCAAGCTACATGTGTATTAAAAAACAACTTGGGATCATCTAAGCTACCCCCAAAATTGCACTGACTTCTTTCTTAGAAGATCCCTCAGCTAATTCTGCAGTCATCCTTGTGAATATAAAAAGGATCATCATCTTGGAAGTAAAAAAGCCTTGAACTGGCCACTTAGTCCTTCATCTAGGTAGGAAAACCCACACATTTTAGAGAGAGAATGTAAAAAAAAATTCACAGATTTCTAAACACTGTCGACATCATTAATGTATGTTTCTACAAGTCTGTTAACATTCAAGTCCAGTGGTTAAGTTTATTTCCACCAAGTCACACATGAGTGTCCTTGTCTTTGATGCACTTCCGTTTTTTCTGTTTTTTTCTGTTTCGGTTGCTCACCACTACGAGCTTGCAGAGTCTCAGCGAGACCCCCACACAATCACTTTCCTTTTATAACCTGGGTGATCGAGCAGGAAATAGTATAACATAACATATTAAGTAATAGAAGGGCAAGAGATCCTTACCAAAAAGGATTTGAAGGGAGGAAAATCCTTGGTTAGTTACTATTCCACTAAAAATAAGCATATCTATTAGACATTAATTCAGCTTTTCCTGTGGTGGTCAATTCTATGACCCGCTTTAGGACCCAGAGCTTTAGGAGATTCGTTCTCTTAAGGGGTTATCGGTTGATAGCGTTAAATTTAAATTAGTGGTTAATACCTTTTCAAGTTTCTGGCATCGTTCCCTGAAGTCAGTCAGAGTATTTTAAAATGACATTCTCTCCCTAAATCTTCACTTTCCAATTTCTTTCTGGAATCTGCAAAATCAAAGAAAAGATCGTAATGAATGGCGAATGAATGAATGAAATCGGCGTCAGGAGCACCCGGAGGGGTAGCGGAGCAGGAGTGGGAGAAAGGTGCACCTTCCAGGAGCCACTTCAAGGCCATCTGGGTGCAAACGGATCAGAGGGGCTGCCTTCCCAGCTGAAGACAAGCACAGTGAAGGTCACAGGCCTCCCAAGGACGGAGGGCCTCCCCTGGACATTCATTTGTTCCTTTTCACTCAGTGTGCATTTGCGGATCATAAAGAACAAAGAGTGAATAAAGCCGACTGTATTCCTGCCCTCGGGGGCTTCCAGAGAAGGCAGACAGTGTGACCCTGACAGAAACCTACTAGACCACCAAATGCAAAGAAAATAAAATGACGGAAGGAAAGGAAGAGGCTGATAGTGGAGGGAAGAAAGCAAAGACTTCTGAATGAGGTGAACCGGGAACCCCAGAATGGAGGGCAGTCAGTGTCAGCCAAACGTCTGGGGAAGGCGAGTGAGGTTCGGGGCTTAGGGGGGTGATAAGGCCAACCCGTTGTCAGAATCACGCAGCGAGGTCACGGGGACACCTTAGAGAAAGGACTCCCTTGTAAAGGAGTCCCACCTCCGGAGAGCGGCGGGGCTCAAGGGCAGAGACTGAATTCCATTCCTGTTTCTAGCCAGGAATCACTGGAGGCCCCAGAGAAACACCCCTCCACACACACTCTGACATACACTCACTCACACACTCACACACATACACGCTCACACACACACACACTGACACACGGATACACTCACCCATACACTCATACACACTCACACACATATACCCTTAATACAGACACACTCACACATACACACACACACTCACACACACATACACTCATACATATACACACACTAACACACACACCGACACACACACTCACCCATATACTCATACACACACACATACACACACAGACACACACATACACGTTCACACACACACACTGACACACGAATACACTCACCCATACACTCATACACACTCACACACATATACCCTTAATACAGACACACTCACACATACACACACACACTCACTAACACACACACTCTGACATACACTCACTCACACATACACTCATACATATACACACTCACACACACACCGACACACACTCACCCATATACTCATACACACACACATACACACACAGACACACACATACACGTTCACACACACACACTGACACACGAATACACTCACCCATACACTCATACACACTCACACACACACACACATATACCCTTAATACAGACACACTCACGCATATACACACATACACTCACACACACATACACTCATGCATACTCACACACTAACACACACACCGACACACACACTCTGACATACACTCACTCACACATACACTCATACATATACACACACTAACACACACACCGACACACACACTCACCCATATACTCATACACACACACATACACACACAGACACACACATACACGTTCACACACACACACTGACACACGAATACACTCACCCATACACTCATACACACTCACACACATACACATATACCCTTAATACAGACACACTCACACACACACACACACTCACACACATACACTCACACACACATACACTCATGCATACACACACACTAACACACACACTCTGACATACACTCACTCACACATACACTCATACATATACACACTCACACACACACCGACACACACACACACAGAGACACATACACACAGACATACACACACACTCACACACACACACTCACACACACACGATCTTGGATGCCCTGGCCGCCCCTGTCTCTACATACTCTCATACACACACACACACTCACACACACTCACACACACTCATTTTCACTTTCTAAAGATTTATTCCAGGCCTGCTTTTTCTTCCCTTCCCCCTAGCCCAGGGAATCCGAAAGGAAATGTACATTCTCTGTAACCGAGATACTAAAATAAAAAGCCCTTTAGAAAGATGTTCTCTCTATCTCCATGGATGGTCCCTTCTGTGTTTTAATAACTTAACCCAAGTATAAAAACAACACCTGCCCACTGTGGAAAATTTGGGAGATAAAAAAAACAGTTTGGGGGGAAAAAGTCACCTATTGCCCACTAAATATTTTGGAGTATCTCCTTTCTGCTTCTCTCGCCGGGCAGTTACACCTACACTGATTTCCTGCACGCTCGGCCTAGACACACACATACACGTTCACACACACACACTGACACACGAATACACTCACCCATACACTCATACACACTCACACACATACACATATACCCTTAATACAGACACACTCACACATACACACACATACACTCACACACACATACACTCATGCATACACACACTAACACATACACCGACACACACACTCACCCATATACTCATAAACACACACATACACACACAGACACATTCACATATACACTCATACACACACACTGACACACAGAGACACTCTCATACACACACACTCACACACACACACTTACACACGGATACACTCACAGTTATACACACACACACACACTCACACACACTCACACACACTCATTTTCACTTTCTGAAGATTTATTCCAGGCCTGCTTTTTCTTCCCTTCCCCCTAGCA